TCCACACAAGCTCCTAGCTTTTGATTCTCTTGGGACCAGCTTTCCTTCATCTCTAAAATGGGCTCACAGGTTCTCTCGAGGATTATGAGAACACAGCAAGGCTTCCAGCAGGCTGCCTCACGGCATGCCCCCAGACTTTCTCCCCTCTCCCTAGGGACAGTGGCTGACTCAGGAAATGCTGACACGGCCGTTGACCCCCATAGCCACCACCTGCCAGGACCATAGACCCTCTGGGCTGGGAGTGACCAGAACCACGTGTGCCTCTCTGCAATGAAGACAGGACGTGTGTCGTTTCTTGCCCACACTGGAACAGATTCAATGCCAGCTCCTCTCTGGGTATAGAAAGCAGAACGTCGCGCTTACACATCAAAGGCAGGCGCTCCCCTAATGCGGCCAGATTGAAGGCAGCTGTGGCAGGCTCCATTCCAGGGCAGCAAGGATTTCCAGAGATAAATGCAGCTTAAGGCAACGTTTCTGTTTTGTTTTGTTTAACCAGTAGGGACTAGAGGCTGTGGCGGGGATAAAAGACAGAGGACTGTAATACATCATTTCCAGCTAAAAGAAAATGTTTCAGAGGCTGCCAAGCCTCCCTTCACTCCTCAACACTCTGGACAGCTCTGAAGACTAAAGCCCTGGCGAGAGCAGGGCTGGGATTCCATTTTCACCCACCAGGCTGCGACCAGCCCAGGGGCCCCAGCCAGGCATGGCTGGCGGAAGGCAAGAGCCAGGGCCGCCTGCAGTAAGAGCTCACCCACACAGCAGACCAGCCTCCCCACCGACAGGCTAAGAAGGCTGGACAGCAGAGGAGAAGAGAAACTCATAAAGGACGAGTTTCCCCCCAGGGGTAACTGCTTTTTCTGGAGAACAGCTTTCCAAGAGGCCAGAGTCTAGGGATTCTGCAGAGATCTGGAAGCAGAGGTGGTGGTGGCAGCCTCGTATCCAACAGTAAGAACTTAGAAAACTTGCAGGAGCACAGCAGTGAGATTAGGTGCGCGTCAGCCATCCCGCTGGTAGAGTACAGTGCCATCAATGAACAGGATATGGGAAGAAATGTTTAAAGGAGTGTACAGATGCTCAAGAAGAGGACTAAGTGAAAAATTCGGGTTATAAAACAATGCACAGGCTGATCCTATTGTGAAAAATTTACCTGGTGTTGAGAAGTCAGGCCTGAAATACACCAATGGTGATTATTTATCTCTATACAACAAGATGGGAAGAACTTTTCCTTTCTTTTCTGCAGTCTACATTTTCTTTTTTTTTTCTTTTGAGTTGGAGTCTCACTCTGTTGCCTAGACTGGAGTGCAGCGGCACGCTCCTGGCCACCGCAGTCTCCAGCAGACATGGTGGGCTCTGGTGATCCTTCTGCCTTAGTTTTCCAAGTAGCTGGAACTACAGGCACGTGCTACCACACCCAGCAAATTTTTGATTTATTATAGAGACAAGGTCTCACCAAGTTGCCCAGGTGGGTCTCGAACCCATGGGCTCAGGCAATCCACTCGCCTCGGACTCCCAAAATGCTGCGATTACAGGTTGAGTCACCAAGCCCGGCCTGCAGTCTACATTTTCAAAAAATATTGATACACTATTGCTTGCAAAGGGGGTCTCTGCTGCTTTACACAGCCTGGAAGTCCCCAAAGAACACGATGCCCAGAATCTCATTCCGTTCTCCTTCTGTAACTGTAATGCTCACCACTTCCAGGCTTTACACAGCCTGGAAGCCCCCAAATAACACGATGCCCAGAATCTCATTCCGCTCTCCTTCTGTAATTGTGATGCTCACCACGTCTGCTGGATCTAGGTCAGGCAAAGACACTGTCTCATGGTGATGAGTAGTGACTGTGCATGCTCTCAGCTGCTGACTGCTCCATGAGCCAACAGACTCTCTGGGTTTCTCTCAAGTGCCGTCTGTTACTCTGCCTGGCTTGGCACCCATCTGCCCATCCTTGGAGATAGCACGTGGATTTTCCTCTGGGAAACCAGCCCTCTCCCCTCTCCCTGCATGTAGCCTGGTGGGGCATCCTGAGTGCCATCCCTAGGAAGGCAAGTGGGTGCTGACTCCCCCTACTTGTGTCAAGTCAATCTGTGATAAGGCTGCACAGGGAGCCTGGCTGCCCACACATTCCCACCGTGCTCCCACATCCCCGTCCGCGTATCGGGGAATCTGCCTCTCCTGCGTGTCCTCCTCACTCCCTCTGTGCTCCTTCTGGTTTCTTTCCAGGACTCTTGTACACCCATTCCTGACTGGCTCCCTCCTTTGGAGGCAATGTGGAACCCTTTCTGCTCCCCCCGGACCGGACATTTGGCCACTCAGGGTCCGGTGAGTGACCACCTGCCACCATACCAGCTCAAGAGATGCAGAATGAAAAATACGTCAATAGGAATTGTCATTTGTCACGTCAAGGCCTTAGACATTTAAAGTTCAAATTGTTACTCTAATCATTCATTCAATAAACACTTAATGTGTATCTGCTGTGCACTGAAAATTTGTGTTCCCCACCCAAAATTCCTACATGGAAACCTAATCCCAGTGTGAAGCTATTCGAAGGTGGGGCCTTTGGGAGGTGAGTAAATCTGAGAGTGGGGTGCTCATGAATGGGGTCAGTACCCTTTTAAAGAGTACCTGGAGAGCTTCCTTGCCCCCTTTATGCCATACTAAGAATAGGTCGGCAGCACTCTACAATCAGGAAAGCCCTCACCAGAAGCCAACCTTGCTGACCCCTGATCCAGGACAAAAAACTAGGAGAAATACAGTTCTGTTGTGTAAGCCACCCAGGCTATGCTATTTTGTTAAAGTTGCCCGAACAGACCAAGGCAGTAACTAAGTAAAGAAGTGTCTTTCTCTCTGGAGATAGAGGGAGATACTTCCTGTGGCTGAGAATGTCTAACCCTGATTCTACTCCCTGGGATTCTGGGGCTATTTCCACTGATTATAAAGGCAAGTCCTATCCATACACACACACACACACACACACACACACACACACACACACACTCCCTCATACACATGTCCATACATTTTCTCACTTAACCCCTAAGGGAAGATGAACACTCAACTGTTTTTTTGCTTTTGTTTTTCCATGTAAACCCAGCATGGATCTTTGAAGACTTCTGAGTTGTATGGCCCTGTGGTCCCACTGGCTTTCAGTCCTGGTTATGACGTGGGAATAATACAGCCCGCCCCGCAGGTGGGTCATGGGGCCAGGAGCCCACAGAGGGACTGAGTACAGAACCGTCCTCAGTGGTTCCTGCTCATACCACCAGCTCAGGATGGCGCCTGGGCTTCCTCCATGCTGCTGGCCAGACTTTCCTCTGCTAGACACCAGCACATGGGCCACCTACCCTATGACCCACAATTTCAGAAAAGCTGCCTCCCCCACGGTCAACAATCCTTCAGGTTCATTCTTCCATCTGCAAACAAGGAATCGTCCACCATTGCAAGAATGCCATTTTCACAGCGCCCACAGCAATGCCAGGTTTCCATGTCTTTTGGAGACTCTGCACAGTCGCTAATTCATCATCTCATCACATTGTCCTGCTTGCTGGTTCCCAGGGTGCACACAACTGCTCTGGTCAAATCCACCCTTCTCATCTGGCACCTAGGATCCCGTATCAGCTGTCCTCAGAAGTCTTGGTCAGCATCCAAATCAGTTCTCTCTCTGATTTGGACACTCTATTTACCCACTTCTCCACGAGCCACCCCTTCACCCTTCTTTCTTCCAGTGGAAAATAGCACAGTGTGATTGATAGAAAGTAGTTATGCAGCACGTGAGTAGACATCACTGGAAAAGGGGCTCTGTGATCAAGTTTGATCGTTCTTATTGAATAAAGTCAAAATGGAACATTCTCACAGCCTTAAGATTCCAATGTGCACTACGGATCTTTTTAAGACATGATGTACCATTTTTCTAAAAGTTTTCAGCTCTAATTCTCTTAATGTGCTGGCTGACCTGTCTCTGAAGGCTCTCCTTTCAATACCTGGCTCCTGAGCCCAAGGCGCCATTTGCATTTTAGTGCCCACAGCACTGACATTCCATCTGTGGGTCTCCACCTCTGGTCCAGGTGTGTTTGGGCCCCAATGATTCCTTTAGTTGAAATGTCACTCCACCACCTATGCAGAACATGCTTTTCCCCCACACTAGCAGAGAGGAGCCGTGCAGTGCCCTGGGACATGCTACTGGTGTCCTCTGTCACTGACTACAGTTGCCACCTTCTTGGAGTCACTGGAAGTTCAGCAACTCACCAAGATGAGACACTGGGGGTGTTATTTCCAGAACACTTGCTTTTAATTGTTTTACAACTGGATGGAACTAATTTGACAAAAAGTATTTTAATTTCTCTCCCAAAGCAAGTCTGATTCTTAGGCCATGAGTTGAAGAAAATGACACACCAGCATATGTGCCAGGAAGAAGCCTTGGTTCCCTTCTCCGACATCAACTTCCAGCTGTTGCTTGTGGCAATCCCAGCACAGGGTTGCCCCTTCATTTCTTCCCTCCTTCAAGCCTCTAGTTGTGACCCAAATTGTATATCCCATAGGTGAACCCAGGACATGTTTCGGTAAGATGGGCTCACAAAAACAAAGATTAAAATACCACAGCCATAAAGCAGGGACACCAGAGTAACAAGCAAACAGAAAGGAAAACAGAGTGGCCGCTGCCTGTGGGTGGTAAAACAGAAGGAAAGCTGCCCATGGTCAACACCTGGTGATCCCAAAACGCAAACAGGAAAGGAGGGGAGATGGGAAATGGTCTCCAGCAACATACGCACACACAGTTTCAGGCCAAGAAGCTCCTGGATGTAGCTTTGCTGACTGGCCACCTGCCTGATTCTCATGAACGCCCTCAAAACTCACGACTATGTCCCACAGAGGTGTGATTCTGGACCTCTGAGAAGACAGGAGGATTTTCATCATCTGAGCAGGCTGCAGGATTTTTCTGATCTACGGGCAGGCTGTCTTCCCTGGACCCTTCTCAGCAACTCCGTACACGAGAGGACACACATACCTTCTCCATCTGCACTGAGGTTCTCGTATGAGTCCCAGCGGATCAACGGGTCTGCCGTGTTGTAGTCCACAATCACTCCGTGTTCACTGTGCAAATGTTCGGACCCTGCACGGGGCACAGGCAGCAGCGTTATTCCCAGGGAGCACGGTACCTCCACCCGCCCAACTGCACCACGAGGACAGGCAAGCAGTCTAACTGCGTGGGAAAGTGGAACCTCTGCCTTCACTGCCCTCCTCCCATGAGCTACGACACTAATCAGAGACAGGGTGGATGGTTTTCCACACATGGAACAGTAGGTGAAATCACTCGGGGGAAAGGAAAGCTGAGCACTGATCTTTGGTCTGCTGTGTGCCAGGCTTGAACTCTAACTGCCACTTCTGCCACCCCACTGATGAGGACATGGAGGTCCCACAAGTCCTTGGAGCCCAGGAATTTGAGTCCAGGCTCCAGGATCCCAGATCCATGCTCCTCCCCGCTTCAGTCTTTCTAAGAATGCCAGGAGGAGTTTTAACACAGAAGCCTTGTATGTAAAGGCTCTCGCCTAAAACTAGAACAATGAGCATAGAAAAGGGGTGATTATTTTCCATTGCCATTGATAATAGAAACAAAATCTTTGTCCATGTGGATCTCAGTGATGGATCTGAACAACTCACCTTGATGATCAGGGACCGATTTCTTTTAAAATGTATTTTTAGGAGAAAGACGGATGTGTTTTGTATAGGAATCCTTGCAGCCTACTGTACTTCAATGCCTGTTTTTCAAGCACTGGTTATTTGTTGAAGAGAGGAGGAAAAATTTGGCACAGTCTCATAGGAGATCGCGGGTGGACCCTCAGGAACACCAATAGGGCCAGCCAGTCCTGGAGGTCCTAGCTCTCCTCCACTGAGTAGCCTAGGGTAAGGCATGCCACCTCTGGGGTTTACTGATCCCAGTGGGCTTTCCTGTCTCCAAGCCACTTTCCCACTGTCCCATATCCTCTTTCGTAAGAAAATTAATTGCAAAAACTTCCAAATGTGTGCAAAGGTGGGAGACGAGAACAGCAAGCCCAGTGAGCCCTCCCCAACCTTGCACCAGCATCATCGTGGAACACCCAGCATTCTGCCAAGCCACTCACCTTGAATCTTCTCAGGTGTGGCAGAGAAGACTAATTCAACCTTTCCATAGTCCGGAAAACGGTCATCTGGGGGAAAAAAATGGACTTAACACATTTGGAGATGATGAACCAAAATGTACTCATTGATCTTGTCCTTTGAGGCCAACCAACAGCACCATTCTCGTGTCGCCAATAAAAACACCAATGGCACAGAAAGGATGGGTCATTTAACCATTTTTCTTTCACTTTTGTCTTCTACAGATCAATTACCACTTTTTACTGATCTGGTAACAATTTTGTCAACAGGCTGAATTTGGGGGAGAGGAGAGGGAAGACAGTGAAAGAAACAACCAAGAAGGGGGTTCAGTCACAGATGCCCACATGCGGGGCTGCCCGCCCTGCACCCCTCTCCCCACCTGTGCCCAGGCTGCAGCTCCGTGCCTCACCTTTGCTGGCATTGTCCAGCTCCTCCTTTCCAAACACCAGCCTGTAGCCCTGCACAGCCCCGGTGTGAAACTGCAGGCGGAAAATGACATCGCGGGTGGCCGAGCGGTACTTCTTGTGGTAGCATTTTACCTGGGTTAAAGAGAGAAAGCAAAAGTGTGCAACAGCTGGGGACAGTGTGGTCCTTGGCAGGGACCGCATGCTCCAGAGGCCTGACAGTAGGGGCTCCCCTCTGAGGAGCCGAGACTGGGAGTTCTCTCTCTGACCCTGGGATGGGATCTGAAGGCAGCTCAACTGCAGTCAGAGGCACCACACAGCTGTGGCTGGGTGTGCAAAGCCACAGGAGGCTTCCAAGTACTCTTTTTGCTGCTCAAATGGAAACACAGCTCTGAACACCACTCCCCTTAGTCCTTGGAAGGGCCACCTAAGACCCTTGCAAACCTCCAAAATGCACCCTGTTTAGGAAGACATCTGAACAATGAAATTCCATGTTCTCCTTTCTCTAAATTTTAACAACTGATCGTGATGAAGTTTTTCTTTCATCTGAATGCTTCGTGTTTCAACTTAAAGTCTTTTGTTTTAGCAAAAGAAACAGTAGTTGATCATTACTGTCAGTAATATGCTAAATGATTATGTGCATGCAACAATTTGGGGGTGGGGGGTGGGGGAGAAAGACAGAGAGAGGCAATGGCATTTCATTTCCCATGACTGGTTGTCTGGGGGTCCTGCTAGAGGCTGTTTATAACAAGTGTTCAGAATTACCCCAGTGCAATTTGAACTTGAGCTGTGAAGCCCAGTCTTGGAACTGGGGCTTACTAGGTCCCTGGGGTGTAGCTCAAACACACTAGTGATTGTGGCAATAAGCAGATGCTTGGCACTCTCAGGGAGCAGTGGTAGACCAGGAGCCTGAGTGTCCCGTCCTGTCTTTACACCAGCAGCTTCCCTGTCTCCCATGTCTAAGTGCAGTGCCATAGGGATGGCTCTCAGGCCACAGCGGGGTGGGGGAGGTTTGCTGCAGGGACAGGGCCACCCCTCACTCAGACGGCAAAGGCAGGGCACATGCAGTGACACTTTTCCAGAATTCCCAGGTGTCCAAGGCCTGACACAGACTGGATTCTGGTCTCAGAGCCAACAATGCTCCTTCCAGTGGGCACGTCCTCCCCCAGGAGGTCAGGTGAACAAGAGCAGCTATCAGAGGCAGCCACATCCCTACAAGAGACTCTTCTTGGTGAAAGATGGCCTTCAAATATCACATGCTTCATATAGGTCAATGGGAAGCAGCTGCAGCAAGAGTAACCCAGACCAGCAATGCAGGAGAATGTCACAGGTGCAGGGTGCAGGCTCTGTCACTCCACTAACCAGAGACACTTTCCCACTTAGGGCAAACAAAATCCACGAAGTCTCAGCGGAGTATTCTGGGAGGTGTGACTCTTTGGGCAGACCCAGAAGGTGTTTATCTTCATGATATCTACAAGGAAACAGTCTGATAAATGAAATGAAAAAATGTAAATAAGACTGTAAAGGGACATTCCCTGTTGACAAACACGTGCTCTACACCGTCACACCCCAGCCAGGCGCCAGCCAGGGCTGCTATTAACACAGAGATCAGATCCAGGCCTAAGCCACAAGGTACTGAGACCTACAATGCTTGCAACCAGCGATCAGGAACCGTGAAGGAGTGTTAAGACCTCAATTGGCTTTCCAAAGGCCACAAGTTTCCTCCCACCTCTGTCTGAGAATCTCTGATTTCTCAGCAAGACTGAGTCCACCTCTACAGTGTTTCTTCTAGAGTTTTCCGAGAGCATCCTTACCCCTCCTCTGAGCTCCCCATACCCCACACTTACCACACTGACTGACCAAAAGACTTTTAGGCCTGGAACATACTGTAGTGGGCACCCCCCAGGGAGGGAGGCCCTCCTGACCAGAGGCAAATTCACAGGCACTGCCCCATCTCTAAAGATGACGGCATCCACCTCTCCCTGTCTACCTTCTTCCCAAGGGGTGCTTTGGAGTGGGAAGTGAAAAGAGATTAGGGTGGGGAAAAGGAAAAGAGAGGTCCAGATTCAAGACAGCCTTGTCCTCAAATTTTATAATTTCCTAGGTAACAGAGATTTGAAGGGACAAACAATAACCAGGTCTCAAGCAGCTGACAGCCTGCAGGGAGGCAGTGTTCAACCAACCCACACAATCACAGCAGCTCATTCCCTCATGGGCACCGACGTCTGCCCATCGGAAAATTCTGAGGCGACCTGTGGGATAGGGTCTGGCAGGTAGGTAGTGTCCCAGGTAAAAATGAGGGTCATTGGGCCAGGCTTGGTGGCTCAGCCTGTAATCCTAGCGCTTTGGGAGGCTGAGGCAAGTGGATTGCCTGAGCCTGCAGGTTCGAGACCCACCCGGGCAATTTGGCGAGATCTCATCTCTACAATAAATCAAAAACCAGTTGGACATGGTAGTGTGCATCTGTAGTTCCAGCTACTTGGAAGGCTGAGGCAGAAGGATCGCTGGAGCCCAGCAGGTTGAGGCTGCGGTGGCTGAGAGCATGCCACTGCATTCCAGTCTGTGCAATGGAGTGAGATTCCAACTCAAAAAAAAAATAGGGGTCACTGTAGGATCCAGGCAGGGCTGCATAATAGGGCAGCAGCACAATGTCCACCCAACTCCAGCGCCCTCTCTTGGGAAGCATGTCTCCTCTCCTACCTGCTCCCCATTATCAAAGAGCTCATCCTGTGACCACTCCCTGTTGTCCAACTCATCCCAGCTCTGGGCCTCCCTTCTCCAGGAATTCAAGATGTTCTTTCAGTTTTTACTACTGCACATCACAGCAGCTACACACAAACAACAGTGACTCACCCCACAGGCATCCCAACTCCTTCCACACAGCAGACAAGGGAGGGAAAAGGTCCGTGGATGCCCTGGGGTAAGGGAGGGACTGGAGACAGAAATCTGACAGTGCCTGGGCTAGGCAGCTCCCAAATGCCTCAGGGCACAGGTATCTCTCCAGGCCCTGTGTGATTCTCACGTTTGGAGTGTTTCATTTTTCACAAGGTCTCTTAGGGCTCATCAATGAAAGAGTTATCTATCTCAGTGTCATGGAACAACTGCTACCCTGACTTCCCATGACCCTCTCCTACGTGGCATCTGTGCGTTCTCTGACAATACCTTAACAGCTGGCTTAAGATCCTACCCCCCACCATACATACTCCCTGTGCCTCATACTGAACTTCCATACCTGGATCAAAGGAGGTAAACGCCACCTCCTCCAGCCCTACTGACAGACTCTGTAAATGACTACAGCTCTGGTCTGGAAGACAAAGAAAACTGCAAACTGCAGGATCTTCCCTAACCCAGGGTTCAAGGCAGCTATCAACACCACAGTAGGTCAGACCTTGAGATGAAATCCACCCACCAATCAGGAGCCCTCCAGGACGTGCAATAATTTTTCATTATCTATGTCAATAAATCTTTTTAGCATCAGTGGCAAGAGATCAGAATTACGTTCTTAGTACTTAACAGAAAGAAGAACAATCAACATTGTGCTTGATATGACGGCCCCAAATACCTCCCTTTAAAAAGTAATCAAACAGCTGGGCTCGGTGGCTCAGCCCGGAATCCCACATCTTCAGAGGCTGAGGTGAGTGGATTGCCTGAGCCCGCGGGTTCGAGACCCGCCTGGGCAACTTGGCGAGACCTCATCTCTACAATAAATCAAAAAATTAGCCAGGCGTGGTAGCGCGCGCCTGTAGTTCCAGCTATTTGGAAGGCTGAGGCGGAAGGATTGCCGGAGCCCGGCAGGTCGAGGCTGCGGTGGCCGGGAGCAGCCACTGCACTCCAGTCTGGGCGACAGAGTGAGACTCAAACTTAAAAAAAAAAAAGTAATCAAACATTCCATAAAGATCAGAATTAATTATATATATATATATGTATTTATGTATATGTACATATAATTTTCCCTTCTTTCCTTTGGCTTTAGTTTTATACACTGATTCTTTGCCTTCAGATTTTATAATATCTGCACTTGAAACAATAATTCACAGAGTTGCAGTCACAATTTTATGGGACAGAAAAAATACAATAAACAGTAAGCCCTGTATCAGGTGATGTGCGAGGTCCATCACCATGCTGTCACACAGCCCACAACAAAAGCACATGGGTGTGATGTCAACATTATAACTCGCTAGGGGGTCTAAGATCCTGGGAAGGTTACAGCTTCTTTGGACTTTATATCTCTAACTGCAAAACAGACATTATAATACTGACTTCACTGTTTTGTTAAAAAGATTAAATTAGAACTACCGTAAATAAGTAGAATTTTTAAGTCCAATAATAGATGTACATATTATTTAAAGGGTATAAGCTTCTAGAAAGAGTCCTTGGTACAAACACTGTTGGATGGGGTGAGTAATGATCTCAGTGGGAAGGCCTGTAAGCATTCTTGCTCTTTTTAGTCTGATGAAGCAATTCGGAAACCTTGGCCCAACATTACATTTCTAATAGTTGTGTAAAAATATGCCCATGACCTTGATTGACTGGACCAGGAACTAAGTCCTGTTTTGACCGTGTTTGCCCCCGGAGTACACGAAGTTGAAGGCAGGATAAGGAATTTTCAAATGTATCAATCAATCTGGTGTTTAAAGACAGCTGATAAGCTAGGCTTGCTTAACCATTAAGCCATATGGGAATGTTTTTATTTCAAACTCTTCATCAACAAGGGAAAAAAACAAGCACCTTGGACATCCCAGTAACGCCTGCCCCTGATTCAGAAGTTAGCCTTCAAGTGTGATCAGTCCCTGCCCTCCTCCCCCGTGTCAGCTGTTGTTAAGGACATCTCCTATTCACATCCAACTTCTAAATTTTCTAAGCAAAACAGAAGAACTCTCAAAGCATCCCCAACAGAAAGAGTCACACTTTCCTTCAACGCTTTGTTGGTCGCCCTGCTGACTGCCTACATGAGTCTCAGAGAATCTCTCAGAAAAAGAGCTATAAACACAAACTTGGGGGTTAAAAAGTTTAGCGGCTAAGCCTCATGGGTCAAAAACATGTCATGCAGGGCCCACATTAACCATGATTTCAGCCAGCGCTGAAAAGGATTTCAGATGGCTGTAATATTGTAATTCATGGCCTGAGACAACTGA